CACTAACAAACTTGATCTTGTGTTCCTAGTATTTGTGTTTCTTTGTTACATGAATTTCAAGATGTATTTTTCTAATGAAATTCTAAGTGAATTGCCACCTATAAAAAGAACAGAGCATTAGATTAACTTAGTACTAGGTTTAACTATTCGTAATAGACCAGCCTATATAAGTAATCTTGGGGGAACAAATGAGCTTCAAATACAAATGGAGTTAATGTTGAAAGGTTATATTTGAAAGAGTATGAGTCCATGTGTTATTCCTACACTTTTGTACTTAAGAAAAATAATACTTAGAGAATGTGTGTTGATTGTAAAGCAATCAATGAAATAAGAATAAAGTATAGACATCATATCCCTAAAGTAAATGATATGCTTGATGAATCATATGGATCTTATTTGTTTTCCAAAATTAATCTTAAAATCATCATATTAGAATGAAAGAAAGTAATGAATGAAATACTTTCAAAACTAAATATAGTTTATATGAAAGGATAATTATGCCTTTTAGACTTACTAATATGGCTAGTACTTTTACGATATTGATGAACCATATATTGTCTGCTTTTATTGGTAGGTTTGTAATTTTTTACTTTGATAATATATTGATTGGATGAGCATATATATCATTTAAGGCAAGTACTTGATGTACTTAGAAAAAAAAGTTTGTATGATAATATAAAGAAGTGTGACTTTTGCTTGGAAAAGATTGTTTTTACTGGATATGTTGTCAGTACAAAAGAAATTAATATGGATAAGGCTATAAAAGAGTGGCCCACACCTAAAACAATTAAAAGATAAAAAGTTTTCATGGATTGGTTAGTTTTATAAAAGATTTGTGAAATATCATAGTAGAATAATTGTTTCATTAACAGAAATTATAAAGAAGATAGTAGGTTTTAAATGAAAAATTGAACAAAAGAAAGCTTTTAATTTGTTAAAAGAAAAGCTTATTTTGACTCCATTATTTGTTTTGCCTAACTTTGCACAAACTTTTAAGATTGAATATGATGCTTTAGATATAGGTATTAAAGCTATTTTAATACAAGACAAAAGGCTTACAACCTATTTTAGTAAAAAGTTTAATAGTACAACTCTAAACCTGACTAATTGCTCAATGCATGAATTGCTTGTAAGGGAAGCTCACGGTAGTGAATTAATGTGACATTTTAGGAGTTTTATATAAATATTTTTATTGGCCTAACGTGAAAAGAGATATGCAAAGAATTTGTGATAAGTGCATAACATATAAACAAGCTAAGTCTAAAGTGAAGTCTCATAGGTTATATATGATTAGTACTTAAAAGTGTATTTTTATCAAGATTTTATATCATCATTTTGCATTTGAAATATCAATAACTCCTTAATTAAAACATGTTTTATAATTACAAATCTGATACCATAAGATATATTTAATTTATGGTAAATATTCATCCTAAATGCAGGCCTATCACATTAATTAAAGGATTGATTGATAAGTTGAAGTACTGAAATTAAAAGGACAAAGAGAGGGTGAAGCTTATAAAAGAGGTGCCAGTTTAGTCCAAACTAGAACACTATTTGATAATTAAATCATAATTGGAGTTGTAGAACTTGGATTTTGGTTTGCTTTATATGGATGGAAAGCTAAGACATAGGCCAAAACTTCATGTGGAAGGCAAGATTAATTCTACTGTTTGGAAGTCCAAATCTTAGCAACAATGTAGAAGTTTAAATTTATCCTGCAGCCCAAACACTGTTCAATGTTCAACCTATATTTCAAGTTGTAGAAGTCCAAATGATGTCAATTTGTTTTTCCTAAAAAGTTGAGACAATTCCCTAAAACTTTCAAGAGTAAGGTTGGTCCAAATTATGATGTTAGCAATGATCTTTTTGGTAGAGAAGAAGATAAGGATTGTCACTAAGTTAAGAGATAGTCATCCACTCAATAATTACTCATCAAATCAATAGTTTCCAATTTTGATCATACTGTATGATATAACAAACACTTGTGCTATAAAATGAGCTTGATTTGTTGTTGACATAAGTTATAATCATGAATGTCTGACAACATTTATAAGTAATAGTATTATGTGAATATGATAACTAATGTAATCATGTTAATAATTTATAATCCGATTGGAACCTCCTTTGTGTGTGGTTTTCAATTGAGTAATAAAAAAAGTTTATACTATACTTGTTTGAAATACCATTAGTGGATCCTCTAACCTTGATATTTGTTTTTATCATTGTTTGATCCTCACATTGATCTTTCATCTCAAAGTTCTCATCAAGTTCCTCTATAACTTCTTCTTCTTTTTCTTATTATTATTATTATTATTATTATTATTATTATTATACAATTAACCTCCATATGGTTCGATCCTAGTCTTGCCGGATTATTTATTACTTCGACACTCCTGTAGTTGAGAGAAAACATCAATCTTTTGGTTGTGTCAATGTGCATCTTTACCTATTCCTAAGGAACCTTGAGTTGATATTTCTATAGACTTTATTTTGGGCTTACCTAGGTTAATGAAAGGAAGAGATTCCATATTTGATGTTGTAGATAGATTTTTCAAAATGACATATTTCATATCTTGTCATAAAATTAATGATGCAACAAATATAATAGATTTATTTTTCAGGTAGGTAGTTTGGTTTCATGGTGTTCCAAGAAGAATTATTTTTGATCGAGATGTTATGGTTTTTAGCTACTTTTGGAAGGTTTTTTGGGGTAAGATAAAAGGTAAAATTTTATTTTATACTACTTGTCATCCATAAACCAATAGTCAAAATAAAGTGGTAGACATGACTTTAACACAATTATTAAGAGTTATCATTCAAAAAAATCTTAAAAATTAAAAAGATTATTTGACATTTATTGAATTTACATATAATCATAGTATGCATTCTACTGCTGATTATTCATCATTTCATATTGTTTATAGTTTTAATCCTTTAACACCACTAGATTTGATTTCTTTACATGTTAATAAAAGGTTTAGTCTTAATGGTAATAAAAAAAAAAGTATAATTGGTGAAAGACTTACATACAAAAATACAACAATATATAGAAAAAAAAAAGGAATGAGAAATATGCATTCAAGGCTAATAAAGGACATATATTAGTAAGGTTTGAATTAGGATATTGAGTTTGATGCATACAAGGAAGGAAAGGTTTTCTAAATAAAAGAGATTAAAATTGATGCCTCGAGGAGATGATCATTTTCAGATAATAAAGAGGATTAATGGCAATACTTACAAAGTAGATCCACTAAGTGGGTATGATGTTAATGCTAAATTTAATGTTTTTAATCTTTCTTTATTTTATGTAGGTTATGATTCAAGGATAAATCATTTTGGGGAGAGAGAGGGTATAATGTGATTCAAGCAATACCAAGAGATCCCTTAGATGTTTTAGTGAGTCTAGTGACAAGACTAAAGATTAAAATGTTCAAGTAGACTTTCAATGTATTTATTCAAAATACAAGATCTAAGAAGGGCTTCACAAAGATATTAAATAATGAAGTACAAGCCTTGATTAGTTTAGCTCATGTTTAAAAGGAGTTTATATATAAGCATTAAAAGATTACAAAAAAATTGGAATATTGATCAATTTTAATAAAACCATAACTAGCTAATATTGTTAACATAGTGTGATATCATCTCTTTAAATTCTCATTCTTGAAAAAAAAAACATGCATTAGTTGTATAAAAATAAAGATCAATATAATAAAATATATAATACTATAAAACTTTATTTTATGTACAAATTATAATTCTGACTCCAAGACAATTAAACTATCTTATGGTGCCAATCTTTTTTATTTTATATGGAGTTAAACTAAGTATTTGTTGGACTTTTTTTTCTATGAAATATTTTTTATATATAAATTTTAATATGATCAAAGCATGAATCCTAAGGTTTTTTAAACAAATTTAGAGGCCAATTGAGACATAAGAAATTGAAAAATATATTACGTCATCAACTTTATTAATTTTATGTGAAAAGTAGACAAATGGAAAGATATTGAAAATGCAGTAAAAATTAAAGGGCTAATCCATATAAAACCAATGACTTTGAATACATTAAGAGACATCTAAACTTATAGTTATTAAATTAGCCTGATAAGTTAATTTAGTAAATAGCTTAGATTTAAATCATATTTTTTTTAAAATTATTTTGGAATCAATCCCATTAAATTTGAATAACCTAATTAAATTTGAGTGAAATTCAACCATACCAATCTTAAAAAAAATATTTTTATTTTTTTATTAAAATTTTTTTTTTTGAGAAAAATAACGTTTCAACATTGACATAAAATGACTTTAGTAACACGAGCCCTTAACTGGTCAAAATCCAAGACAGGTTTGAGAACCATGACTGTCAAGTATTTGGTGTACTAAAATATGGTCACAATGCCCTTAACTGGTCACAATGCATGTGGCTTGGGTTTTTCCTCTAGACTGTAAAATCTGTATGGTATCTTCGTACCAAAATAGTGTCAAAAGTATTCATCCGTCCATCTAATTTTTCTCTTGCCACTTGATAATCAGGCGACAGAGAATCTAAGCAAGAGACACCACAAGTCGTTTCCATAAAATTTTGAAGATTTTGGGATGGAATTAATATCATCGACATAACATTCTGCACAAGATAATCGTCTGCTTTTTTTGTGCAGTCTTCTCCCTCCATGCCGTACAAGATAATGATTTTTGGCAATTGACTTATACTGGGAAAAAACGACAAATATAATGATGTTGTCAGATTCGCATGCAATGGCTAGAAGATAAGAGCTGTTGATTTTGGCGATATCTCAGCGGCTAAAAAGAACTAAGCAACGTTGGGCTGAGAGATTGGTAGCGGGTGTATCTTGATTCAAATTCGACTACCCAAGCGGCGGACCATTCATCCTAGAGGCCGTTGCTTAGAGCATGACAGGTCAATTCATCCTCAGCAGCCCGGTCTTTGAGTTTGCACTTGCACCCGTCCACATTGGAACCCAACAAAAAGAACAATCTAATAAGAAAGGGGATTCTAATGATCCTTTTACAAGAAACACCAGGTCAAATCATATTTAACAGATGCAAGTTCTGCTACAAGGAAAGATAACCATTTCTATTTGCACTCAGGGCTGAAGGACAAATGACTGATGCATGGAACCATAATTACTGTAAAACAATTTTCATTCACAGGCATTGCTAGACGGTATGGGTGCAAAATTAATAAAAACGCCACTGCTCAATTGTGCTCCCCTTCCCATCCCACCAACTGGTGTCTTGGAAGGCTGAGTGCTGAGACTCTTGTAGTGGAACCAGACCATTTCTCTCCAGTCTACATAGCCACAAGCCACTAGACATTCTCGATCAACATTTCATTAGGTTGAGGCTGCTTCCTCAGTTATGTGGATTTGAGTTTTCTCTGCCTGTAAATCATAGTGTAGAAAAAACTGTAAACTACTTTAACCAACCAAGGAAAAATTGAAACAAATGTATGGGAAAAGTATTCCAATAGGGTTACCTCCTTCTCCCATTCACATTTCATGGTGACGACAGAGAGTACCAACGTCTGAACCACAGTTCCGCAAATCATTCCAGCCCAAAGACCCTGTCCAGTTCTCATTTAATTTAGGCACTTGGAATCTTGTCTCAAAGAGAAGAAAAATGATACATTACGAACTAGCTAGCATTTTAGAAACTGTTGTTTCAGCTGAAAGTTTCCACATGGAAACAATTATTCTGGGATTTTTAAGATGTACTTTTCAACACAATCACAACATTACAGCTTGAGAATTCAAATTTTTAGCTTCCATTCAATGTGAATCATGAATATGCTCATATTAGTAACAACGTAATTGCACTCACTTTAATACCAAAGTGGAGCAACCAACCCAACAGGACCCCAAGAGGCACCCCAACTATGTAGCAGCTACCTATGTTTATATAAGCTACTAATGCTTGCCAACCAGATCCAATTGCCACACCTGGAAAACAGTACATGGCCATCAAAACCATAGCAATTCTAAATACCGTTTGCATTTCAATTCTAAATATCAAATTCTTGTTTTGTTTCTAACCTGTAAGAACTGGTTGTATGCAATTAAGCAGAATGGTGAATGCCAGCAAGACTGCTAACTCATTAACCATCAAAATAACAAAGGAGCTAGAGGTGAAAATCATCGCAAGATTCTCCGGGAAGGCTATGACAATTGACCAAAACAATAGTCCAATCACTAAAGAGGTCAATAATGACACGATGGTGGCAAATTTGGCACCTTTTGCATTGCCTGCACCTAGTTCATTTGCCACGCGAACCCTACACAAAGTAACTTTCACATAATTAGCAAGGGAGGGGGAAAATGAACTTCCACAATCCTAGAAACTTAAAAAGGAAAAAAAGGGGTCATCTTTCTTATTTTTGATGAGGACACCAAACTCCAGACATTGTATGATCAAAGAAAATGAAAGGTAGCCCAAACTATTGAAAGATTGGGCTTTAGCTTATGGTTTGGCTTAATTTATTTGAATTTTTTGTTGAGTTTTATTAATTTTAATTTATTTTGTTGGGCTTGATTTAATTATTGTTGGGTATTTTATTTAGTAAGCTATAAACTCATTTGATTGTTCAAGTTAGAATTTTAGTATTTATATCATACTTCTCTAAATGTTAGACCATTGTTGATGAATTGAATAAAAATTACCAAGTTGGAGACTTCTTCAACCCCTATTCTTTCTCTTCTTCAACTCCTTCTTCTCTTTATTTGGTTTCTTCTTCTTAGCTTCTTCTTTTCACTCTTCTTAACTTATGCCTTCATCTTCAAATTTTTTTGCCCCACATCAATTATTGCCATGCATGTACAAGGAAACAGAGGAAGCAGGATTAAAATACCATGCAAGACTAATAAATCACCGCTTTTTGATATGTCTGTCCATGCAAACTGTTGATTTGAACCTTAAAGGCTTAAATTACTTGACAGACAAATAAAAAAAATTCCTATCAGCAACAGAACTACCATTCAAAATCCAGCCAACCTAAGATTGATGTAACCAGATGTAAAAGTATGAGTTTGCTGCAACTAAACCTTCTAGGCAGACATATTTAGACTAAAAACTTCCACAGGTCTGCAAATAAAAGTATTCCAGACATGACAACATTTTGTTTCCAAACACATTCCTGTGAGTTCTAAAGGAACAGATTGAAAGACTATTTTAGTGGAGTTGAACTTTCCTGTGTCTAACACAAGTATCTGATCCTAATGTATTTACAGAAGGTTTCATTACATCATAATTGTTTTTTCATAGTGATACTTAAGAAAGTGACCTTTTTTTTTTTTTTCAAGATGACGATGGTCCAGGCATATTATGCAAAGATATTGCAAGACCACAATAGAAGTAAATATTTAAAACGGTGAGAATTAATGAGAATGCAAAGGTAGATCATACATTCACATCAAATGAACTTGATAATATAAGGGCCAAATAGAGATGCAGAGCTATTCACTAGCAAATGTAATGAAGTAGATTGATTACTTCGATCCAATGGGCCACTAATCATAAACCATACACAACAAATGTAGACATTTTGATCACATTTAGCATGCTCCTTCAAGGAATATAACCAAAAGCATATGATAGATTCAGGGACAATGATGATAAAGTTTCGCGCTCAGCCCAACTTAAGTCGGCTTTACATTTATGGTCCCTGCTCCTAAAATATATATGCAACATTCACTCATGATAAGACTGCCATAAATTTCTACCCCAAAACAATTTTTTTCTCATTTGCGATGGACAAGTTTATGATAAGTGACTACAGATTCTTAGATGGGTACTAAAAATGTGTTAGTGTCAAGGTCCCTCATTTATGAAGAACAAGTTTAATGTGTCATGCCCATTTAAATAGTTGATTCTAATTTCTAAAGTTTATTCCTACCAGGACTGGAACGGTGAAGAATAAGAAGAAGATCCTGCTATGCAGCGCCATTTTTTCTATGTTTCTAAGTTGACCTCAGAGTTTACTTGTTAAATCTTAGTTCGCTTCCCCACTTCTGGTTCTCAAGTAGAAGGTTTATTTTTCTCTTCTTTATAGATCACTAATTGTGGATCTCAAACAGATAAAAGCATGGAAGGAGTGAGACATACAACCAGCAACATACCCCGTTGCAGCCAAAAATCCAAGTGGAATCATGGATTCCCAGCTGAGTATCGTTACACTGCCAAACAAAGTAATACTCAGCCAACAACAGAAGAATTTTTGAAAATTAAGAAAAAAATGTTCAAAGAAATAAGAAACGAGGTTGAGGATTCAGAATAGTGACCAACCAGATGGAAAGGGCATCAACTGCAACTTTAGTGTTGGGCACAAATCCAGATACCGTAATCAACACTCTATAATAGATGTTCTCCAATCTAAACATTAAAATGCACACCTACTTCAATCATTTATTCTACCAATTAATTCAAAATCCAATAAATCAACAACCAAGAGAGATAAGATCCCACATACAATAGCATGATCCCAGAAGCCACAGAGAGTTTGAAAAACTCCCAAAGCCCCGTAAAAGCTTGTGTAGAGAACCCAGTCCAAGAAAGTTGACACCCACCACAAACACAGTAGATAAACATCCCAAAAACAGACACCCACCAAGAGAAATCAAGAGTCAGTGCAGTCCCAACAATCCCAACTCTCAACTTGTAAACAAAAACCCAACTCAAAATCACATGTATCAAAAGAGCCCCACCAGACACCAGAGCAATCACTCCATTCTTTAACTGGCTCTGCAAGAACCTCTGTAACGTGAACTGAAATGGGAAACTGAAGTGAAATGGAATTAACCACATCGCCACTAAACCTGTCCGTTCTGCTATGTCTGCAGGCTGTCCTATCAACTTCAATATCGGAGTTGCAAACAAAAACAAGGGTAGTAACAAAATTGAGCATAAAAACAAAACAATCCAAGAACGTTGCATGTATATGCCCAACATGTGGTACTGTTTAGCCCCATAGGCTCGACCACATAATGTTTCCAATGCACTTGCCATGCCTAACTGCATTAAAGAAAAGAACCCTACCCAATTAAAAGAATTGGACAATTTTCACATTCATTTCGTTGTGAAATCAATCAATGAAATGTTGCAGCTAATATAAATGTGGCATGAACACGATTGATGGATTACCAGGAAACCAAAACTGATAGAGATGATGAGAGTGGTGGCAATAGAGATGGAGGCAAGATTGAGATCACCGAGGTGGCCAGCGAATGATTGGGTTATGACAGTCATGGAGAACATGGCTAGGCGGCTAAAGATTGAAGGACCTGCAATTTGCCATAACTTCTTTGATTCCAGCCATATTTCCTTAATCGTGCTGTTGGATACACCACTCGATAGGTGTTCTTGTTGATGTCGTTGTGTATTTGCTTCTAGCCCTGAAAGCAGAAGAGGGTTCTCTTCTTCTACTCCCATGACCTCTACCTCTCCCGCTCAGCAAAGGCAATGAATGAGCATTGGCTTTCTGGATGAGGGTTGCATGTGGGGGCCACCTTGTTTTAGCGTGGTGGAGGTTGTCTCTTTTTTTTTTTAATGCTTTTTTCCATCACAACCGTCGCAAATTGGATTCTTTCCTAAGAAATTGGATTCTTTCCTAAGAAATTATTAATGGACCCAAATCATTTTATTATATAAAATATGCGCAGTAGAATGAAACAAAATTCAGGGAGGAGTTGAATATATATTTAATTGAGGTATTCCATTGCTCAATTAGAATGCGTTTTAACAAGTAGATGGGATTGCAGGTTGATACGTTAAGAGTCATACATAATTAAAGATTAACTTGCTAGATTAGACCGAAAATACATATTAGTTAATAGAGATTTAAAACTTAAAATTTAGATTTTATTGTTTTGAGATTGGTATTGTTACTTCAAGGCATTATAATTATAATACATTCAACTTATTAGTTCATAGTCACTTAAAAATGGTTTCTTTACAACTTAAATGTATGTTTTTCTTTTCTAAGATAATAATAAAACTTTTTTTTCTTGAAATTATACTAGTTTTTTGTAATTATTATAATTATGGAGAAAATATCTAAATTATATATATATATATATATAACATTTTCATGATTTTTTTATCCTACAGTGTGTAATCATTTACTTGTTACAAAATGAATAATATTTTTATAAGGTTATAAATTAATCCCCTTAAAATAAAAATTCTTCTTTGAATAAAAAAAAAAATCCAAACAATGAATTTAAAAAAAATCGTGATTTTAATTTGATAATGGTAATTTTTCTGAATTTTTATTATTTTTCATAGTTTTTTCATATTATTGTTTTGGGCAAGCAAGCAAAAAATGAATAAAAGAGAAGCAAAATACAAAATAATAATAATAATAACAATAAATGTGCAATTGAGGGTAAAATTAAAAGAAATAATGAGAAAAGTGGTGCAATTGATCAAAAGTGTAAAAATATAAATCTTAGGACTAAATTGGAAGAAGAGGAAGAATGAGAGGGCCATAAAAATATGCAATTAAGGGAGAGATTGAAAACAATAATGAGAAAAGAGGTGCATAATAACAAAATAAAAATCCAATGACTAAATTGGAAGAAGTGGAGGAATGAGAGGGTTGTGAAAATGTGTAATTAGGGACTAAAATGAAAGAAATTCAAAGAAAAAGTTGCAATTGACCAAGAAAATAAATAAAAAAGAAAGTGAAGGACTAAAGTGGAAAAACAAGAAACTTGGAGGATCACCTGAAAAGAAAATTTATGGAATGATGTTATTTCACGTGGAAACAAAAATAAAAGAAGGCATAAGCAAAACAATACCATTCTGTGCCTAAGAGAAATGATATCACTTAGCATAAAGAAGAAGAAATAAGCATACACCAAATTGAGCATGCATGCACCAACCACCTTTTTTTTTCTTTTTATGTAAAAATCACTCATCAGCACCCTTAATTGATTGCCTACACTCCTTAACACAACCAAAACAGCACCATTCCCTTCCCTAACATACCCTCTCTTACCTCTACCCATACCCATATCGAAAGAACCCTTTAAATAAGAGACTAAAATAGGTTGGTTAGTTTTTTTTTTCAAGAAATAAATGACATTAAGGGGTGGGATTTTTTCTAATGGATTAAGTGTCATGATCAAACCATCTAGAGGAGCTTCTAGAAGTTTTTCTTTTTATATAAATATAAGAAGTACAAAAAGAAAAACAAAAGAGCTGGAGTGAGAAATTATTGAAGAGAGAGAAAGGAGAAAAAAGAGTTTTGAGCTGAGTTTTTGAAGTTTGTATGAGCTAAGCGAAAGATTAAAAAAAAACAAAAAAGAAAAGAAAAGGGGGGAATAGACCCCTGAAGTTCGAAAGAGAAGCCAAGAAAGTGAAAGAAAGAAAGAAAATGAGAGTGTTATTTTGTGTGATCTAGGATGTCAGAAAAAATAAGTGATGAAGAAAGTAAAAACAAATGAGAGAAAAGGGGAAAACAAGTTTTCCCATTGGATTCCAGCAGAGAGAACAAAAGAGAGTTTGAGCTAATTCAGAAAGAATTTTGTGTGATCTAGTAGAAAAGAAAAAATAAGCGATGAAAAAAATAAAAACAAATGAGAGAAAGGGGGGAAACAAGTTTTCCCATCGGAATCCAGGAAAAATTTCCCTAGGAGGTTAGTTATATAAATTATAAATAATGATGATGATGATGATGACAACAACAAAAACAACGACAATGATGATGACGACGACGACTTTGAGATGTAAGATTAATATAAGGATTAAATAATGATAAAAACAAATGTCGAGGTTAGAGGATTCACTAATAGTATTTCAAACAACTATAGTATAAACTCTTTTTATTACTCAACTAGAAACCACACACAAAGAAGGTTTCAATCAGATTATAAATTGTTAATATGATTATATTAGTTATCTTATTCGAATAATGTTAATACTTGTAAATGTTGTCAGGTATTTATAATTATAACTTACGTTACCAACAAATCAAGTTCCTTTCATAACACAAGTGTTGGTTATACTATATGGTTGGCATATAAAAGTGCTAAGTATTTGTTGTACTAAGGGTTATACAACGTAAATGTAGATTAACCATTTAATAAGAAAAGTATTAAAAGTGAACAAGATAACAAATATAAAACATGTTAGTATGAAACATTAAAGTTCATGTTGAGTTTATACTATACTTATTCTTATATTATTAGTGTACCATTTTCACCTTGACATGATAAACTTAACTAAACATAATAAAGAAAAGAAACATAGATAAACAAGATAATAATATAAATAAGATTTAAGTTAACTAAGTAAAGGAAAGAAAATGAAAAGAATAAACAAGAGATTAATATAAGTAAAACTTAAGCATTAGAACAAAAAAAAGAGTAAGAACATTATCTTGATATGAAAATCAAGATATCTAAATACATGGCAAATGCCTCCTTTTATAGGCCAAAATTTAGAATTGATTTGATGACTAATTATTGAGTGGGTGACCACATCTTGACTTTGTAACAATCGTTATTTTCTTGTTTGAGCAAAATGTTATTGTTAATGTTAGAATTTGAACAGACTTTATGAAAGTTCTAGTAAATTGTCTCAGCTTTCCAACAACAAAAAAATTATCTCAGCTTTCCAACAACAAAAAAATTGGTGGATTTACACTTCTAGAACTTGAGATAGAAGCTGAACACTGAACAATGTCTATGCTGCAGCGCAAATTCTGACTTCTTCATTGTTACCAGAATTGAGTCTTATATTTCTCATGAATGTTTTAGACCTATGTTTTAGCTTTCTAGCCATGTAAACCAAATTGAAATCCAAGATCTACAACTCCATATATGACCTAATGACTTAATAGTGTTATAATTTGGACCAAACCATCATTACTTTTTTAAGCTTCACCTTCTCTTTGTCTTCTCAATTGCAGTAATTAAACTTATCAATCAGTCCTTTGATTTATGTGATAGGCCTGCATTTAAGATAAACATTTACCATGAATTAAATGTATCTTATAGTATCAGACTTGTTATTATAAAACATACTTTAGTTAAGGAGACATTTGAAGTGTAAAATGCTAATATAAAACCTTGATAAAAATGCACTTTTAAGTACTAATTATCTCTTCAAATTCTATCAAATGCAAGTATGGATTTTTTAAATCTAAGCCGTGAAAAGAATGTAAAAGATGAATAATATCTGGCTTAAAATTGAAGTGAGATACATCAGGAGTGAAAACTATATATGATGATGCACTTGTTCTTATAGGATTCATGTGGTCTCTTAGTGTTCTAGCTTAATTATTCTCATTATTCTCATTATGAAGTGACTATTTATCTTCTTCGGCCATGTTTACTGAAAATGGTGAGGATTTTCTAAAAAGTCTACCAGTTAATATATGTGACTAAACTCTCATACACGTGTAGGAAGAGAATAAAAGGAAAAATAAAAGAAAAGAAAAAAAAGAAAAGAAAAGAAAAGAAACAAAAGCTAGAAACAAGAAAAGTGAAAAGAAAAAATAAAATAAATATTATAATTTATACAAGAATTTACCTCCCCAATAATGGCATCAAAAACTTGACACGATCAAAAGATTGATGTCTTATCCCAAGTGTAGGAGTGTCAAAATAATAAATAATCTGGCAAGATTGGGGTCGAACCACAAGGAAGTTAACTATATAAATTAATAATAATAATAATAAGTTAAAGAGGACTTTGAGATGTAATAGTAATATGAGGATTAAACAATGATAAAAACAAATGTGAATGTTAGAGGATCCACTAATGGTATTAAAAATAAATGTAATATTGGTGCATGTGTGCAGCTTTACAGCGAAAACATCCACCCTCAAAATGTTATCTTATCTAAGAATATGACAAATATTAGGAGAGAAGGAATTCTTATCTCTTATCAATGAAAAATTAGAATGAGAGTCGCTACCTAGTATTTTGGTCACCAGAAACCCTAACTGATCTCAGAGATTCGGTACGAGGATTGGTTGCGTAAAGGGAAGATATTAGCACCCCAAATACGCCCTACCTAAGGTAAGCTATATTGTTTTATTGTTTGATAAAATCTAAGGTCTTGTCATATTTTCTAGTTGGTAGTCTGTCTATGATTTAAGAAAAATCCTCCTCAATAAGGAGATCCTTATCTTATCAAGTAATGTTGACATCAATAAAAATAATTTAACATCCAGAATACATCTTATATATCAGATCATAACCCTAGATATTAAAAGATAAATTGTTATTAAAGTCAAAATACATGATATTAAAATAATTTTTTTAGAATTTTTGAAATATTGGCCTAGTTCTTGTGACTTTAATAAACTGTTTATTAAAGTCAAAATGCATTCTAATATGTTTTTTTTTTGAAATTTTCTTTATTATATAAAAATACAATATGCTTTTTTTTAGAGACTCGGTCGTATGCATGAAAATAAAATATTTTTTTATGTTTTCATGAAAAGTAGGTATTTTAATATTGAATTTATATCTTTACAGTATAAA